CAATGTGTCTAGCAACGTTTGTGTTTTAGAGGTGCCATGCAAATTCATTAAGAGTTGGGATTGTATTTTCTTGTAGTAATAATTTTAAGTTTCCCCCAGATTCACCCATCAGACGAGGTAACAATGGACCTCCTTCTCCCTTTTGGAAGTCAGGGTTTCCTGCCAATGGATATAATAGTGAAATTCCAGGGGATAAATGCAACTTAGTTTTATATTTCCTCCATAAATTTAATATACTTAATAACAGAGGATGAGATGTGGGGTTAAGCCTAGTTATAGGGCAACTTAACCATGGAAGATTATACAGAGGGACATTTGTGAAGGTTTGCTCTAAGGTATACCAGGACCGTCAGGCTTCCACATTAGTCCATCTCGTAGTCTAGTCAGCAATGCTGCAACATAAAAATAATATAAATTAGGTAACGAAAGCCCACCCTTATCTCTATGGCTTGTTAAAATTTGAGAGCCCAGGCAGGGATGTTTATTACTTCAAATAAATAATACAAAAAATTTCCTAAACTTTATAAACATTGACTGTGGCAAAAAAATAGGTAATGTCTAAAAAAAGTGTAATATTTTTGGAAGAACCAGCATTTTTATAATATTAATACATCGAAGTATAGAAAATTGTGGTAGGTTCTATCTTACAAAATCCTCCTTAATTTCTGTCAAAAGTGGTATATAATTAGCTTTTATAAGGACAGCAATCGAGGGTGTCAAATTAACCCCCAAATATTTAAGCCCACCAGATGGCCGATAGAACTTGTGTGCGCTACTTAATTTCAACCTTAAAGCGTCTGTTATATTTATACACAGTATCCTACTTTTAGCAATGTTTACTTTAAAGTTAGACATTAGGCCAACTTTTATAATTACATTTTTACTTGAGTTAATGATTTGGTAGGGTTTGTGAATGAAAAAAGAATATCATCAGCAAATGCAAGACTTTCAATTCTCCTCCAAGAAATGGGTATCCTCTTATAAATTGATTTTTCCTAATGGCCTGCAACAAAGGTTCTATAGTTAAAACAAAAAGAAGTCACCGGGGACCAAGCAACTACAGACAGAGCCTTCCCGAGTATAGCCTCACTACCAGGTCACAGGAGATAGATCATAACACACGTACCTTTAATGACAAGGAGGGCTCCAGCTATGAGTAAACTTCATACCTATGTATAGGTAGACACATCAGCCTGTTATGAAAAAGCCTGATTCAGCATGTTATTAATTTATGTTAGCTCTATCTTTTTCTCTGTTAAAGCATTGCTGCACACTCCAGCCTATAGTTCATCTGCATAACTTGCAATTGTTCACGCTAATAATTATTAAGCAAGGTATTAGACTGCCTGAAATCTCCTGTTTAGCAATGTAGTCTATGCACTAACATACTCGTTATATATAACATGTTACTTTCGCATAAAAAATAACGAAAATTGTGCTGTTTTAACTGCATGCCATGGCAACTCAATGTTAAAGATATGCCTGCAGTCGCTGTTGTGGCACTGCAAGATCAAATGTTATCTGTCCTTACATGGACAAAGAAAAATAAAGAATGTAAAAAAAAAGAAGGGGATAGAGGACATCCCTGCCTTGTTCCGTTTCCAGAAAAGAAGATTTTGAATATTGTCCATTTACCTTTACACTGCAGGTTGGGCCATTATAATGGACTTCTATCCATTGTCTAAACCTTACCCCAAATCCCTGTGCCTCCAGTACAGTAAAAAGATAGGACCAGTCCACCCTGTCAAAGGCTTTCTCCGCATTGATAGCCAAAAGCACTACAGGTTTCTTAGACACTTTTACGCCGTGTATAACACTTAAGATTGTAGTGGTATTGTCTTGTGTCTGTCTTCCCATCACAAAGCCAGTCTGATCAGGGTGGACCAGTCCAGGGAAAAAGGGTTTGAGATGGAGTGCCAGTATTTTAGCATAGATTTTTAAATCCATATTTATCAGGGCAATTGGTCTATAACTCCCACACATAAGAAGGTCTTTCCCTTCTTTTGGAATTAAAGTAATAGATGTTTGTAACATTGGTGGGTTTAGAGTAATCCCAGGAGCAATTGAATTGAATGCTTTAAAAAATGTTTTAAATAAATTAGACTGTAAAATTTTATAATGGCAAATTGTAAGGCCATCAGGGCCAGGACTCTTCCCAATTGGGAGGGATTTAATTGCTCTATCGAACTCAAGACCGGTAATTGGAGTTTCCAGAGACCAGATCATCAAGCAAAATTTTCTCTGAAATATTTGAGCTAATATAGTTTAACATACAATCTTTGATTCCCGCTGATCTAGGCAGATTATATAGACCCTGATAGTATATATTAAATGCCTCCATTACTGATTCCATTGTCATATATGTACAAAAGCAATAAGTCTGGTGCTGCTCTGCGCTGGATATATGTAAATATGGTGTGGTTTAAGTTTTTTCATTACTTTATAGGCAGTGTGCCAGACTTATTGCTTTTTTACTCATATATAGTGTGCAGCGCCACACTGTATGAGCACCTCCAAAGTGAGGAAATTATTTCCTTTTCAAAAGATTTTTTTATCAACAAGTGCCCCCCCTCAGTGAGAGGAACGATTGAACATTCAGGAGTTAAACCTACAGTCTTATTTTTTTCATTGAGGACTTTTTACTAAAGGCAGGATCCTTAGCTGATACCGCAGAAACACTGCAAATCACAGATCAAGAAGCGGAACTGATATTATGGTAAAAAACATCCGCCGAATTATCTCACACAAACACTATACAGGATTTATATAATGATTTACTCAAACTTAAAAGACGTGAAGTGGACTTAGATCCTTATGGCATCTTTATTTTGGACTACTACCGAGCAAAACGTATACCAAGAGGTTTCTGAGTACACAATTCCCCTACTATTGGAAGACAGAATCCAGAATTCTGCAAAAAAATGGGTAGGCACAGCCAACAAATGCTCCCTCAATTGGATGATTATTGTAGTAGATGAAGTGAAAAAGGGACTTATATTTACCAAAGAGTCCATTAACACATTCGAGATGACACATACATCCACACTGAATGAGACGGCATCAACACAACACATGTTAAAACTACAGGATGAAATTATGAAATATAGAAAAAACTTACACCAAGGTGCTACTCTGCGCTGGATATATGTAAATATGGTGTAAGTTTTTTCATTACTTTAAAGGCAGAGTGACAGACTTCATGCTTTTTTACTCATATATAATGTGCAGCGCCACACTGTCTGAGCACCTCTAAATTATCTCACACAAACATTATACGGGATTTATATAATAATTTACTCAAACTTAAAAGATGTGAAGTGGACTTAGATCTTCATGGCATCTTTATTTTGGACTACTATCGAGCAAAACGTATACCAAGAGGGTTCAGAGTACACAGTTCCCCTACTATTGGAAGAATAGGATGATTGGATGATTATTGTAGTAGATGAAGTGAAAGAGGGACTTATATTTACCAAAGAGTACATTAACACGTTCGAGCTGACACATACATCCACACTGAATGTGTCAGGGTTTCTTTGCTGTTTTAAACAGCAACCCTTCCTTTTTCTGTGTCTGAGTTTTCAGCTGATTTTTACGATCAGCTCCTTTAGTAATGTTGCCACGGTTACTCACCTGATAGTAGTAACCATACATTCATAAGGTGGAGCCTCATATACACGCTCTGTCGGTATCTGTAATTATATAAATACAAGAACACAAAATAATGCAATATTGTTGTAACCAATATAGATATATTGAAAAGCGTATGTGGTATCACTCACAAATCAAGAGTCATAATCCCATATGACTCTGATGGTAAATGCTTGTGGACTATTCCAGGATGCCCAATCCTTTCTTTTCTTCTCAATTCCAGGGTTTATTTCATTCCGGCAAGGAAAGGAGAACATTTATTCAGGATTCCCATCATTTTATTTTCCTTGGCTGTGGTACAATTATATATAAGTCGTTGGCTGTGGTACCCTATATATATCCACTTTACACTGGGAATATTGGAGAATTATCTTGGTGAAGAAGGATTAAAGAATCCAGGTTCCCTTGTGGAATTGAGAAGAAAAGAAAGGATTGGGCATCCTGGAATAGTCCACAAGCATTTACCATCAGAGTCATATGGGATTATGACTCTTGATTTGTGAGTGATACCACATACGCTTTTCAATATATCTATATTGGTTACAACAATATTGCACTATTTTGTGTTCTTGTATTTATATAATTACAGATACCGACAGAGCGTGTATATGAAGCTCCACCTTATGTATGTATGTTTTCTATGTATCTTGTAGAGGTGGTTTAGGGGATACCACTTAAAGGTGTTAGAGCTTCACTGTCAAACTCCTTATCGTGCACTTTTTTGATTTGTGATAGTAGTAACCAGCCCTGCTGCTAATCAGGGCAGCCTATTTAAGCAGCAAATCCCAGTACCTCCTTGCCCTTGCGTGGTTTCCTGTTTTCCAGAAGTCTCCTTGTTCCTGTGTGTTCCTGGTTCCTGACTCTGGCCTAGTTCCTGATGTAGCGGAGAGCTGATATTCCACAAGTTATCTCCACTTATAATCCCAGGGAGGAACAAGTATTACAAATCCATAAAGCAATAATTACAGCAGGCAAAACAATACACGAATATCCCAATATAAATCCCAATGACTGGACGACACACAGCATCAGGAGCAGAACTGAACTTTTAATCTACACAACCTTCTTTTAAAGCTTTCTCCCATGCAAGGTAAGGATTCACATTAATCAGTACAGTATCCCATAGTGTGATTTACCTCCCACACATCTCCTCCCCTCAGTGTGACACATAATCCACTTATCCATACTGTAGTTTTACCCGATTTCTGGATGTACCCCAAAACAGTCAGCTAGAATTATATACTGGGTACCCCCTGGTAGCCCTGATCTGGGTAACTAACATATTCAAAATTCACTTAGATCGGACTACTTCAAATAATAAATGGAACACAACTGCAGAAGGACGTTGAATTATTTTTTCTTTTATTTAACTGAAATGAAAAAGCTGTTGCTGTAGCTTTAAAACTTTAGCAAGGTTGTTAGTTGTTGAAAGCGGGACAAGCAGCAGTACATTTGCAACAGTGAAGCAGTACTAAATAAGAATTAGTCCAAGTATAGGTTGAAGTTATTCAGAGTGAAACTTAATTGCAGCGGATAGAAAATGTAGCTTTCACTTAGCAACAGAGTGGCAATTATAAATGCATAAGCAGGCAGAGACCAAAATGAACTTGAAGTAAAATACTTAGTGTTCAGTAGGAGTAGATTCCGAAGCTCTTATGAAGTGTTGCATCCAGATATTGAATACTTCCTTTGGAGCACAAGCAGAGGTCCTTCTTTCAATCCGAGGTCGAGGAGAGGAGAAGGTAGGTCAACGAATTTCAGTCCAGGGTTCGGTACACGTAACAGTAGTTGCAATAATTTGTAGCCGGTCTGAGGATCGCGGGGGAAAGCCTCACAATAATCCAGCATTTTGAATCTGGCGCGGACTCCCTATGTAGCGCACGGAGACCGCGTCAGAGAAGGGGGCATGGCTATGCTCCGTCTACCCGGAAGTGCATGGGAAATGGCGAAACCGACAGGTATAACCTGACAAGGGGTTCAGGAATTAGATGGAAGGTGAAATTTGACCGACTGCACACGAGGTAGTATCCGAAAAAGGCTCCATGTGTTTTGGCCTTGCGGTCGGTCTCTGTTCGGGAGTTAAAATACATAGAAATGCTTGCCACCCACAGCTAATCTTACATTCGTATTAATTCCCTTGTTTGGGACATTGATTTTACCGAACGAGGGGCTGGTTGGCCCCTCCGTTTGTGAGTTACGGAGCTCTGGAGGTCTCAGCGGTGTTCGGTTGTTTGAGTGTCCAATTTGAGTTCCAGACACACGACGACCAAACACCGCTGAGATTTTCTTGTGTACGATGGCCGTCGCCACGCGGTTCGTATGCGAACGGTGACCACACAGATACATACAAAGTAACGATTTCACGGTCAATTAGGTTGCGGTTACAGAGTGTGAAAGCTTAACGAGGTGGACACTTCTCGCTGGGGTGGTCTGATGGTTCGGTAGTTTTCATTCGTATGAAAAACAGAATGAAAACTACTGAACAATTAGACGAAAGCTATATACAATACTGCTACACATAGCAACAATTACACGAAATACATTTGTAACACGAATTCTTGAGGACAGCCCAATGCCATCCGCTACACCTGACTTCGCTCCTCTCCATTCTCCTGATCCTGGCTCGACTGACTACCTGCTTTGGTACTGACCCCTGCTTGCCTCCTGGACTTTACTTTTGGTTATTACTTTATTTTCTATTTATTAATAAAGGTGTTTTTGCATCTAGTTCTGTCTCTGTCTAGTTCCTGGTCCCTAACAATGAGACAGCATCAACACAACACATGTTAAAAATACAGGATGAAATTATGAGATATAGAAACAACCTTATCCGGTTTAAAAGACAAAAAGTGGAACGGGTCCATTTTGATCACACCCATCATCAAGTATACCACTGGCTAAGTGGTGAGAGACGTAAACCAATTTTTCAAAGACAGAAACAATCCAAATTCAAAAATTCTAATTTTTTATACTTTACCTAAGGTACACAAAGATATGGAAAATCCTCCAGGTAGACCCATAGTCTCAGCCAAAGGTGGACTATTGGAACCCATGGCTAAATTCATAGATCATCATTGCAAAGCGGCAGTAACATCCATTCCCACCTGTTTAAAGGACACACAAAATTTCTTGGATCACATTAACAAAGTTAAACTACCTGAAGAAAAGGTAATCTTTGCTACAGTGGATGTCAACAGTTTATAAACGGCTATTCCTCACAACACAGGCCTGGACTCCATGCACACCATACTACTGGATAGCCATCAATACAAAGGACCACCTATAGAATTCATATAGGAATGTCTTGATTTCACTTTAAGCAATAATTACTTTAATTTTGAAAATAAGTTTTGTATCCAACAAACCGGCACAGCCATGGGATCGGCCATAGCACCTACCTATGCTAATTGCTATATGCATGTTTATGAAACACAACACATCTTAACCAAATATACCAAGTAAATACTATTATACCAAAGGTCATTCATCTCCCATACGACAAAGCCTCACATATCACAATGACAAGATACAATTTCTTGACATAGAAGTCTATCGCACAAGCAACAGAATTGATTACACTCTTTACAAAAAAAAAACAACTTCACGTAATACCCTACTGCGTGCGAACAGCTTTCACCCACCAGCTCTTAAAAAATCTCTACCAACCTCCCAATTTTTAAGTGTTTTACGTAATAACTCCAATTCGGAGAAAGCGTAGTTACAATTGAAAGACATGGAACAATCATTCCTTGAAAGAGGGTATACCAAAGATGGATTCCATCAATCACGTTCAAGAGCTCATGACATTTTTCAATCCACTACCCAGATTCAAACCAAGGCACAACAAGACACCCCGAGGATCCCCATGCCTTTACAATATAACACAGCAAGTAACGGCATATCTTCAGCGATCAAAAAGATAGAAATTACTAGCTAAAGATCATACACTTTGCTCTGATTTTACTCAAACTCCACGTATAGCCTTTTGCAGGAAAAGAAATCTCATGACATTCCCAGCCAAGATGCAAAGATAAAAGCCTTTGTCAAAAAGGGATGCTTCCGTCGTCCCACCTTCGCACATCCCCACTCAGGTAAACGATTCCACATCAGACATCACATTTGATGTCTCAGAGACCACGTCATCTATTTTATATCATGCCCCTGCGGTCTATATTACGTAGGCAAAACCGATCTCACTCTGAGAGACAGAATTATTAAAAATAATGGTTAAAATAAAAAGCTGTGACTGTATCTCATTTTGCTGCGATGCGGAAATCTTAAGAGTTATTTTTTTTTTTTTTTACAAAATTCGGTTATTTAACCCTAAAAACTTGAAACTGAAATTTAATTATCTACTAGTCCCACTTCAGTGGCGAAAAACCTCTACAGATTTGATCCTAGCAGGGCACCGTACCCCTCGCCCATACCAACTTCGTTTTCCTACTGAAGCTTGCCCTCATCAAAAATGTCTGCCTCGGCTTTAGCTCCAGGTCACATGGTGCATTGTGTTTACTATCCGCCTGTATCTCCTTTAGTAGTCTGATTAGCTCTATCCGAGAGTCCGTACGTATCCTAGCGCCTCTTTGGCTCCCTCACCCCGGCCAGGGAGCGGAGAGGGCGCAGAGGGCGCAGAGGGCGCGGGTCCGTGTTGAGGCGGAGTGCAGTGACGCGCAGGGCAGGGTGTGTGTCATGTGACCTGCTCGGTGAGGGGCGGGGCCGCCGTTAGTAGGAAGCAGCGGCTGGAGGAGGAGGAGGAGGGGCTGTGTTGGTGCATGAGAGGCAGGTGATGAGTCCACTGGGGGTGGACAGGAGCCCGGAGACAGGAGCCACACGCAGACACACTGCACGGGACTAGCAGGGCGGGGAGCCCGGCAACCAGCCATGGAGTGAGGGGGACACACTGACACCATCACCACCACCACCACCATTACCATTATTATTATTACTGTGATTACTGTGATTATTATTCCTGTTATCAGCATGGGGGCCAAGGAGTCACGGATCGGGTTTCTAACCTATGATGAAGCTGTGAAGAGGGGTAAGTGCTCTTGGTTTCAGGGCGGTCAGAGGAAGGGATCCTGAGGGAGGCATTAATGGAAGGAGGGGAGGTGGGTGTTGTTTGGCAAGTGGCAGTCTGATCCATGCAGAGTGCTGGGTGATATGGGGGGTGACTGACAGGGTGGCAGCACGAGTGGTGGGATAGGGAGGGTGGGGAGCATTACAGTGAGGGGTGCTGTAGGGTGACAGGACAGAGTATCTGGCCAGCACTCATATGCAAAGGTCAATCTCTTCCTATCTGGCAGTGTATTGTATAGGACGTGGGAAGGAGGGAGCTCTGCAATAGGGGACCCTCTTGGAAACCTGTTTTGTGCTCTAGATTATGAGCACCCTAGGTGTCCATGGCAGGGGCTGCTGCTGCTGCTGGGATCTTCCCAGGAGGCTGTTTCCATCCCCTTTACACTGTCAGCATGATCCTGGTTACAATGACATGGGCAAATGTCATTAACATTTTGCTCCAAACACACATTTGCTGTATGTTTCTGTATTTTTGTTTGGTCAGGTTCAAAAACAACTGCTCATTCTCAGTTTCTAAACACATGCAATAGGCTTCTAAATAAGTATATTGCATAATAAGCTGTGTGTGTAATACATCATCATGCTTGGCAAGCTTATTTGTAATGCAGATTACTCGCACTTAAGATGCTTTTGGGTTTTATACCCTCCCTTGTACAATATCTGTGGTTATTTTATGGTGTGTGTTTATATTTTAATGTACCAGACTATATAGACTGGGCTCTTTTCAGTCAAATATTTTCAATTTCTTCTTGGCATAGTCTTCCTGATCTGTTTTACTACATTTTAAAATGGTAATGCTATTAAACACTATTTCGAATTTTTTGAGTACAGCAGGGAGGATGTGTGTATGCAAAGTAGTAAAAAAAAAAAAAAAGAAAACCTTGCTAGCCAAAGAGTGATGACATTTCATTAGGTCATTCTCTATCAACATTACCGAGAGGGGATTTATTTTTATTATCAAAAATGACCTGCTCACAGTAAACTGGACATTTTATAGTCCTATATCCAAGTCATCTGCAGCACTGACATATGCCTGTAGGTGCAAGTTGTCTTTTCTTTTTGTTAGGCAGTGACAGCTGACAGGTTAAAAGGATACAACCATAAAACCAATTCCATAACTCCATCTGCCTCTTTCCCTTGTACAGAGTGTCAAACCAGATGAACCGAAGGAATGCCAAAGAATAACAGGCTTCATTCTGTGATAAACATTGCTCTTCTCGAATATCTATGTATCTTAGTGTTGTATACAAATTACCCTTTGCTGGTCTGGTTTAAACAGATTTATAAAGCCTTTATCCCACAAAGGAACAAAACAAAACATTGCTACTACCTTGTAGAACTGTGATTTATCAACCCGTTTCTAACAAGGTACAGGTAGCATACTAGCAACAGATTGTTTTCATTATCACCTCTTATAACAAACTTGCATTAAAAACAAGTATCCACTAAACCATTTCCTAGTAAACACCATTCATTTCTAAAATCTTGTACTAAAGTAACCTGCATCCCTGATTTTGAAACTGACTTTAAAAAAGCAGTAGTTTATTAGAAAACTATATTTATGTTTTACATACTTCCCTAAAATCTATAGCTGTCTCTCCTTTAATGTCCAATCCTGCTATTTATGGTTACATTTTACTCCCAAAGTTTGTAAGTGAAAGTATATTATAAAAAAGGTTGATCAGTTAATTGCTCTAGGTTTACAATACACATGTACTCCTCGTCAGACTTTGCTGTACCTGAGTGCATACAGTGCATGTGAATTGCAGACATCCTTATCATTGTTTCTTAAACAGTATGGGGAAAAACCTGTTTTGTAACAAGAATTTCAGGCACCTTCATCAAATAATTACAGTGGGTACAGTTACATTGTATGCAAACATAAGATCAATCATGAGACTAAAAGGGACATTATAAAGTCACCATACCCACTACAGCTTAATGTAGTGGTTCTAGTGTCTGTAGCCTGTCCCTGCAGGATGAGCACTATAAACACTGCCTTTTCAGAGAACATACAATGTTTACATTGGTGCCTAGTAACACCTCTAGTGGCAGTCATTCAGTTGGCTGAAGTGGTCTTGGTGCCTATAGTGATCCTTTAACATATTGTTTAACAACCGTTTATCATTGGTTTTATATAATCATTCTTGTGGACATATCAAGTAGAACAGTGATACACTTAAATATAATGTTCTACTTTTGCTCATGATGCCGGTTTAACTGTACATTTACTCAGCAAGTGCAATAAAATAAAGTAAGAATTTTATATATGTAATATGCATACACACTCCTAATAAGATTTAGGAATATAAATTAAAACTGTTTATACCGGCATAGTAGCAAGTAGTTTTCCATGGTCATTGACTGTTTCGGCTATTTGAATTATATTTTAATTATTGCTGGCACTATCTTCAAGGATATATCAGTCCTATATATAATGTTGGGTGTGTTGGGTGCTACTCTCTTCCTGACTAATTATACGTTTTTGTCCTTGTTGGTAAACTTTAAAAAAGTTTTAATGTTTTGAACATGATTACTATACTTATAAAAAGTAAACAATATGCTTCAGTTACAAACTAGGTGTATTTCTATCATTTTACATGTTTTACAGATTGGCTCTTAATACTTTCCAATGCAGCATTTTACTTTAGGTATTTGAATTTACTAATTATTCTTACAGAACCACTATAGGCATTTGGACTGCCATTTTTGGTCCAATTATTTTACTTGGTGCAGTGCATAGACAAGCATAAGTAATTGAAACAGATCTAGTTTGACTCCTAACCAAGGAAGATGAGGACTTTGCTCAAATGAGTTTTCAGTCTAAAGGGGATGAAAATATAAGTACATAAAAAGTAAAGTGCATTGCATTCAAAGTGAAAATTGAGTACAAGGTGTATTTGCGTATTTATTTACATTGTTAGAAAATATATGCAAATTATATCAAACATTTAGTGGAGAGAAGTGGGCTAGTCAGCGATGAAACAGGGGACAAGTTATTAAATATCTAATTTATATGCCTTCAAGTGTTTTTTTTTACTTTATTTAACATTTCTTTAATGAATTCTGCACACATAATGCTGAAGTGACTCATATTTAAGGAGTATGCCATCTTAATTGCACTCTATTAAAGTCTCTACTTCCATGAGAAATTAGTGTTTCTTAATTGAGTTATAAAAGGGGCTTGACAGTCATGGAGGTTTTCTTCCATTTTCTCTGCTGAGCTAATGGAAACCCATGTTCATTGGACTCCATTTTACCAGGACTTTCTTGCCTTCCCTGGCCCTTTTGCTGCAGTCGCACTCGCGACTCAGAATCAGAGACTTCTTAAAAGGAAGAAAGGAAAGTGGGAAGGGCTTGCCAAAGCTAGAAAACTAAGATCTGCAGCTTTTGCACATTTACTCTAGCTGTACCTCCAGTGACAACATACATAAATACATCTTTGAGTATTTTCATTATCCAGTGATGTATCCTGGTTTTGTGCTGCCCTTCCCCGCCTTCTAAATACACGTGCATACACTAGCTAACAGACATACACACACACACACACACACACACACACACACACACACACACACACACACACACACACACACACACACACTCTAACACTCTCACATTTTTTTTTTTTTAAATTCAATCCCCCCAGCCTCCTTACCTTTGGGAATGCTGGGGGGCTGTCTTCCTTTCCCTGGGGTCTAGTGGGGCTGCTGGGCGGCCGTCCGGTGACTGCAGGCAGTGAGGGAGCACTGATTCTCATGTTCATATTCCGGCTCCAGGCATCACTCTGCGGCGCGTGAGTTATCTGAGCAGAGAGCTCACAAATCGGTGCTCCCTTGCCAGCGCCGCTCGCATGAATTTTTAGTTAGCCAGCCGCCCCCTGGAAAGTGCCGCCCAAGGCAAATGCCTTGTTTACCTCACGGCTAATACATCCCTGGGTATATCTACTAAATTATAAAGGTATGTTTTGTTTTTTTTACTCCTCATTTCCTCTGTAAAGGGTTCCCTTTAAAGAATGTAGATTTGGGGTGAGCCTAATGTGGCGCAGCGGAGTTAAAAAAACAGAACTGCTCTAGAGAAGCTGTCAAGGTGAGAATTTGGGTTACATGCATAT